GGGGTGGGGTGGGGAAGGAAGAACAAGGGGAGGCCCGAGAATCCGCAGGCAGCAGCGCCTGCATGATGGGCAGGACGACGTCCACCTGCCCCAATCAGCTCCCCGGGACAACCCCTGCCGGTAAGAAGAGGGGTGGTGCTGACTGCCCAGAAGGTGAGGGGAGCGGCGGGGGACACCCCTGACACCCAGTACCTCCTTCTCGTCGTACTGCAGAGCGTGCCAGGGCTGTGCCTGGCCTTCGTAGATCATGGGCACTTTCACGACAAAATAAAACTGCTGGAACTGGGTAAAAAAGCTCTTCAGGTTGATGGCGTTCCAGGTCTGCAGGATGCTGAAGATGCTGTTCAGCATAATGGTGGCCGCGATCTGCTTCCCCTTCACCACGTCCTTCCTTATACCGTCCGTTAGAGAATTCATCATCCTCTGAAGCATCCCCGGGCACCTCATATGAACCACATCATCGTACTGGTGCCAGTCTAAGAGTGAAGGGAGGAAAACACCACACTGTGGGCCATGCGAACGCGCTGACCTAGGCACAGCCCCCCTCCCCGGCAGGCGGACCAACGGACTGGAGGAGGCAGAGGAAGGGAAGGAACCGAACTCATGTGGGCCAGGGACCCGCCGGCGGAGGAGCAACACGGAGGTTGGTCCCATGGGGGAGCACAGCTGTGTTTAGGACACAGACCCTTGCCGTCCCACAGTGATTAGAGGGGGACCCAAGGTCCCATAATTCAGCTGGCCTGAAAATACTCTAAACATGTCTTTACTGAACCAGATGGCTCAGCACACTTGGTACACATGGGTTCATTAGAAAGTGATCACACAGAGGTTAAGAATTCCATCCCGAAACTGCACTCACTAGCAGCTGAGCACCCCACTTTGCTAAGTTACAAGAGCTAGTTTCCTCTGTGCTGGGAGCTATGACGCCCACTCCATGCAGGACAGACAAGACAGAGCCCTTGATGCACCGCAAGGGCTGAGTCCACCCCTGCTCTTGGGACTAGGTGCAAGGGTACGAGTGTTGATTAGGAAATCCAGCAAAACCAGCTGCAAAATAATTAGAAGACCAAAGGATCAGTAAGATGGCCAGAGGCAACATGAACACATAAACTCAGTCATAAAGATCAGAATGTGCAAGTCTCAGGAAGAGCGGGTACTCTCTGCTTCCCACTGTCTGCACAGAGGTCCCCACTCACCCAACCCCTGCTCCATCCCAGCCTGGCAAGAACTTGAAATTACTGTTGGGAATTACTGCTTTTCCTGCTCTCTGCGTCCTACTTCCAGAGGCCCATGTGAGCTCCTTGGTCTGGCCAGACCCCCGTCCCAGAGCGGGAAGGAGTGCCACCCGGGGCTCCTGTGAAGGGGACACCCTCGACCCTGGGATGGGGGGAGGGGGGACATCAGAGGTCTCAGTTTCTCAGAATCTACCAGAAGAAAAGAAATAAAATGTTTAAGTTTCCAACCCACTAGAGGAAAGAGAAAGAGAAAGAAATTCTGCAAGTTAGAAAAAATATCCAAAAAAGGGGCATGAAAACAAGGTGATTAGAAAAGAAAGGTCAAGATGCCAAAAGTCCAGCAGCAACCAGCAGGCTAAGTGCATCCACTGAAGACGGTCAGACTGAATGAAAAACCATGAAATAAAACAAACCAATGAAAGCCCAGCGAAACAGAGAGGTGGCCGGAGAGGCAGACCCCAGAGCAAAGGGCAGAGCAGAGATGAGGGTGGAGATGTTGAAGCAAGAGCCGGAGGTGCGGACAGCAGGTGCACCACCCGGTTCCAGGCAGAACGGCACCGGCACACGGCAGAGGGACCGCAGAAGGCCATGGAGGGACAGTGGAGGGACCGCAGAGGGACAACACTCAGGCCCCCCACAGCCAGGCCACCAGCATGTGCTTCCTTGGTCTGGGTCTTTTGGGGCACGGGGCTGCAGCCCGGAACCCCCACTCTGGCAGCCTGGCCACTGAGGCTCACGCTCAGCAGGGACGCTTAAAGGGAGGAAGGGGGGCAGCCACCTCTCCCCCCACCCGCACTGGGAATAAGGAAACCTGCGTTTATTTAAGTTACTATAGATGATGAACCACTGCCACGCGAGATGGAGCAGAGCACAAAACCTCTCTCAATCACCACGTTTCCAGCACCTTCCAGACACCCTTCCCAAATCGCCTGCAGGGATGATGTCAGCGGCTGGGGCCTCCCGCACCTGGGCTCAAGCAGTGACCTCCTGGCCCGCGGAAAGCCAGCCAAGGTCTTCCCGTGAGCCCTCCCACTGGTCCCCAGGCCTCAGCTCCGGCCCGCTCCGACGCCCCAACCCGCGCGCTCGGCTCAGGCACCAGCCGCCCCAGGTCCTGACGGTCACCCTGCGTCTGAAGGCCCACGGAGCTCACAGCCGAGCAACAGGGAGGAGCGCCGGGCTACAGCCGGACGGAGACAGGCCTCTCGGGAGCTGACAGGCCAACCGCTCGAAAAAGGCCTTTACTATCCAATAGGCTTCATCTCCTCGACGTTCGGGGATCCGAGCGCCCCACACTGCGCGGTCTTGCTCAGCACACGGGGACCCCCACCACAGACCGGGCACCAGGCCCCAGAGAAGGTCCACGCACGTTCCCCCGAGTAGAAGCCACGGAGATCGTGTATAA